TATATATATATATATATATATATATATATATATATATATACGCCACTGACATCCACTAGGCGACATTTCTTGCAACGTCTCCGGCCAAGCACAGACGGGGTCACAGGGACCCCATCCTGGAAACGAGCAGAAACGAGCTATTGTTTGAGTACGTCGCTCATCTCCGAGCATTCTGATCAATACAGCTCGATGACTTCCAAGGACCTTTTGCATAATTTCCTACCCACGCAGCAATGGATACACACAGCGTTGATGTCCTTCTGGTGATCTCATAGAGTAGAAGACCAATAACATTCGGCGCTATAATGGAAACGTTGTCAACCTCGAAACAGTCCCATACGGTACTGACTTCCGTGGCAGCAGCATGCCTTTAATGAAAATGAATGGAGAAATTCTGGATAAACACGCGTTTTCGATGATTCCCTTTACCAAATATGGGGGCGGAAAAAAGCGTTTTAGTACATTGAAGGGAGAAGAGGCTGTGGAGGATATGGCTGGTTAGATAACTGCATCGGAGGGGAGGGTAACCAGGCAGTAAATCACTTCAGTAGGACGGACGCAAAGTTGATAAATGTGAAAGCGCACGATAGCGACCGCGAAGCTTTGGATGGAGGGTTATAGGCAGTCTGGCAAACAATCTGAGAGGCTTTCGGCCTAACTGAGTTGATAGGAAAGAGCTCCGAATGCATTCATTATCGTTTAGAGGGTAGACCAGTTGGGATAACATTCTCTGATTGGTTAAAGTAAATTCTCGGACGTGCACGGAAGTGGTCCAATTGAATTATTGAAGAACCTCAGGCAGAGTCGTCACTGACAGTGTCCTGTGAGCGTAAAGAACGACAGTGAGGACAGACACCAGAGTGTTTCCGCGCTGAGCACGGACTTTCCAGCTGCAAAGAGGCATCCTGGCAATCTACATAGTTCGTCAAGATTTTACCCATTAGTTAGTAGTGGAATAAACCGGCCCGGGTAGCACTGAGCACCTCAGGGTGTCCCGTCTAGACATGCCTGCTGAGTTGCAGAAGCTGAGTAGCAGTCAGTGAGGAACAGATACAGAAACTTCCCTTCTTTGAGCAGAATCATCCGATTTTCTAATCAGTGACGAGTCTGAGAAGGTGATTGGTTTGATCGTCTAACGTGTTCTTGCTCTGGAAAAGTTCTATAGCCGTAGGACAAGCATTCAAACAAGTTTGAATTACATGTGGAACAAACGCTGAATAAACGATTCGAATTACCTCACTGACTTGTCGAATGTGATTGGTTTGATCGTCCAACCTGTTTTTGCTCTGAAAAAGTTCTGTAGCCGTAGGACAAGCATTCAAACACGTTTGAATTCCATGTGGAACAAACGCTGACTAAACGATTCGAATTACCTCACTGACTTGTATGATACTCGTCTAGCCACAACATAGAAATTCGGAGCGAGCAACCAGTCTTGTGGATACTTCGGGTGACAGAGTTGCGTCACTGAAACGCATCTCTCTAAGCCTAGTTAAAGTCTTCAGCAAAGGGCAGTGGTAAGTATGCAGCCCTGCGACTGACGTCAATTTTAGAACCAGGATAAAGCAACCGGCCTATTACCAGGCTGTTGTGGCCAGACAATTGTCGGGAATCGAACCGAACCACTGGGTTGAATCAGGGCAGTCGATCGGATCAATAGAGGAGTTATACTTCAGCAGGATCGGTTTTTCTANTATACCCCGTGTGGATGAATAGTCTCAAATTATTCAACGAATGTATGGAATCATAGTACCGCTGTTCGAGTTTAGCCTCTTCTCCCAAATGGGTCTTAATGCTACCTTAGCTTTCGGTAGCACAAAGCCTTTTTGGTGTACACTGTTCATCAACATTACTGACGCAACCATAGCTGTTTTCCAGTGATTCGGTCGGGGATTGTCCCAGCAGATTACCATATTTTAGGCTGGCTATGTGTCGATATTGCGACCCGAACAGACGATTGCAGCTCTGGAAGGAGGGTGGGACTAGATAATGGGTCCGGTAAAAAAAATTCACTCTGCAACTACAGTTCTGGATGATCGTCTGTAAAAGTTTACGTGTCCCAATGGCAACATATCCAACAACACTAAACTTAACGGAATGGAGTGGACGGCTGTGGAACAATAGGGGTGAGAAAACACATCGGTGGTACCAAATGGTTTCCGGTAGGATCACCGAATCACATCCTGAGAATTCGTTTTTCTCCACTGGGGAAGATAACTGTTTTGGTCATTGCAGGACGACTCTGGGTTGTTGATCAGGTAGCTGTTGGTCTGTCTGGCGAACGCGTCACTGCGCACTGACGATGTCTCCTCGTATGGTGACGAAGCGTTTGCAAGTCAGTTGCCAAGCTCAGCACACAGATCAACAGTCGCGTGGTCAACAACCGATGAGTTCACCCGAGTCACCAATATTTCGACGCCGGACGATTCATCCAGTATGGAGCTGCATTTGAATACTGTTCACCTATCAGTGTTAGTACACATCGGAAAGTGGAGATATGACGATTCTGAACGATATTTGATCAGCTGATCATTTCATGGTAGACAATGTGTAGGTTTAAGGTCTTTTAGCAGCAACAGGGTGCCTCCTCACAATGATACACCCGATTATTACAGCCTAAATTACTCTGACTATTCCCGCCAACGTTCCGCAAACAAGCGTAGATGATTGTGCAATACGATTGTGTGAAATTCCTCTTGGGTAGAAATCATGACACTGTCGTGCATTATCAAACTGCACAAGAACTCAAAAGAAGCCACCATAAGAAAAACCCACTTCTAAAGATTCGGCTTGGGACAGAGCAGCTTTGGGAACCACTTATTTGGTGCGCTCCACGCACCGTAAGTTCGGTCAAAGCACCTTCAGAAAAGTCGTCAACTGAGGCATACAACCTCCAACCGTTTCTCGGCAACTCCAGGTGCATGCCGATGGCTGAGATGTTTATGTCGATTTCTTGTGAATTCCGTAGCATTTGACACTATTTTTAGTAGTTTTGGAACTATCGTAAGGTATTTCAGTACGGAGCGGTAAGGAATTTGGTTTTTGGCGTAGTATTTCTAGAAATCGATTCAGTTAAATTCGTATTTCGACTACTCATTGGTGGAAAAGATGAGAATTCATCATTTAATGATTTTAGTCGATTGGACTTCCAAGAGAGCGCTAGATGACTCAGTGGTTAGGGCGCAAACCTACTGAAAGGAAGGATCTTGGTCCGGACCCTGCCCTTGCATCTCTAATGTTCCATTCTGGGCTTGGCAGTATCTCAGCCCTCGAGCTTCCATCCGATGGCATGGCAGCTAGGCACCGAAACAGCGTTACAGCTGAACGACTGGATTTGAAGGACGGGGTAAATGTGACCCCTTGTACTCAGCCAGAGATGCAATCGATGTAGAAACAAGCTAAGACAAATGGGTTACAGAGTTTCATCTCCTTTTCGGACATCATCCAAGCAGTTCGGCTTCACTATACTTTGTTAAATTACTTGCTTATTTCAAAATTAATTATGCCAAAAACGAGATGAATCAATGTTCTACTATCCTGTTTCCGTTCGATAGAAGTTCTTTGCCATATTTCTTTACAGGGAAAGTGCAACGTCCAGAAAAGAACCGGTCACCATGTAAGTTGTAGACCTTGTTCGAAAAAAAACTTTCACGTGATCTCCTATCTTAGGTCACATATTATACACAATTAGCTGCCCTGTTTTCCCACTTGCCTGCCATTTCCTGTCCCCATAGTTTGTCCTCACAGGTTGCAGCAACACCTCATCTTAGTGCGCGCGGAAGTCTGGTCCTCGGTAATCCACGATAAACCATTTATTACTGTATTAATTTCTTACCTAGAGTAGAGGCCATCCCAGGTCACGGCCTACGTAATATGTAGATACCAACAGCTAACAGCTCACTACGAATCCATTGTGAGACGCTCAAGGGGCCGTTCATTTATCGCATCCAGAAGTAGCGTATGGGGAGCATGTCAGTTGGGAGACCCGAGCGTCTGGTTTTTCTCCTGTAGTCTCCTCCCACACATACCCATTCACTAAATTTTCACTTTTGGCCGCAAGTCGTTCTCCCCGTTGGCTTATTTCTCACTTTCCCTTTCACTCGTGGGCCCTCTTCATAATTCTGTCCAAGTACTATAGGTGAGCAAGAAAAGTACCCACCTTTGTTGACAGTACAGTCCTCGCCAACCCCGTGCACTCCGGCCTACTTGCTCCCACCCGCGCCCACTGCGAACCTGAGTAGACCTCTCATCAAACCCACGATCGTTCCCATCCTTTGATCCCCTTTCCATCCCCTAGGTGAATCCAGGCATTTGAGTCCGGTTTGTAGGAAATGTGAGTTTTCAGATGGGCAAGTGGTCCTACCAAAGTGGGTCCCCACACAGTGCACTTTCAAAAACAAGTTCACCACCTCCGGGGATTACGGCTCAACAATTTCAAAACTGTATACTTGCGTAAACTCAAATTAAAATTGTGATATTGACGTTTGCAGGATTTGAAAAAAGAAAAGCTGGCGAGATTTGGCGTTTAATGGTGCATAGCTTGTTAGCGTATTTCGCATCTCTGTTTCACTTTTAGCAACACCTTATAGCAACACCTATATTCCGAGGCCCAATTTTGCACTCTTGTGGCACGTAGGTCAATCAAGAACTAAAGTGAACTCACCAATTGACAGCTCGTACAAACATTCCGGAGGCAAGTAATGCCCATGCGAGGGATGACCAATTCCCCTTGAGCGTCTACAACAGTCCGCTCCTACGCGAATGTGTCTGTCCATCTTCAATTAGCGTACGCATCCTTCACGGGAAAGGTGGCTTCAGATAACGCCTGATGGAGACTAGAATAGAAGTGCAATGAAACAAAGCGAGAATTTCAGTTTAAAAGACATAGGAAGAATAGGCAACCGTATGAGTACACTTTGAGGATAAAGCGAAATCACACGAGAATGTACTTAATATTTGATCGAATCCTCAACTATGGAGATCCAAGCGACAGCGGCGGCGATCCATGTGTCCATCAATGCACAAATATTAAAATAAAGGGAGGATTAACTACCTTTAGGGTTGAGAATGGTCGACCTGGAGACCCGGATGACGAAAAAGATGACTCAAGCTTGATGGTGAAATCCGTTAGGAAGAGACTGGACTTCCCCGTGAGGTGTGTTTCCTTGACCGATTGAACTATGCTGGGGGCAGTCCACCAATGGGACACTCGAACAATCTGGTTGGTCAGTGGTTAATGATCTGACCCCCAGCCCTCCAGATTGAGGATCGGAACATGTATGGCTACGTGTTCTTTAGGAGATGTAATGCACTGGCATATCCCCCCAAACATTGCTGCCTTGTTGTCAGGCTTTTGAGCCAAAGGCGTTGACTGAAGACCCTAACCACCCTCTTATTTGGGTGTGAGTGCCTTGGCAGTATCCAAGCCTAAATACAACCATTATCTCCACTCGTACAGGTATACTCATGCCATATCGTCTGTCGCCTGGTTTCATCAACCGGGTCGCCTTACTTACTACATACAGCAGTGCGGGTAAGCGCACCAAGAATTCAGAAAGCAAGCACAGTGGCTAAGCTAACTGCCCCATCCTTATCCATTCGCTTCCGGCTGTGAACCTCTGGCAATCCAGAGGCCAGAGGTGGCAGCATATGTAAGGTTCGACATCGTCCTAGTTCACCGAGTGGAAGGATCCTTGCTTGAGTAGATACTGGTTGACAGTCACTTGTTTGTGATTCATGTGGTAAATTCCGTGGAGGAGTATCACCAGGAAGAAGTTGATTCTCGCCTGTCTGTTTGTCATGTCTGCTTGCACTCTAACTGACCGTAGATCTGACACCATCGAAGACAAGTTTTATGACGTTTTGAAACCCCTGTTGCGACAGAGTGAAAACTTGGACGTGTTTGTGTTCTCGCCAGAGGTCTGAATGCACAGGTGGACATTTGGGACTGGACCAAATGGTCGATCTGCCGTGGCTCGCTTGGTACCCACGGAAAATAGTAGAACAATCACCTCATTTGTGAACTAAACGCAGGCTGATTTTATAAAGCACTCGGACACGAAATCACCGAAGTCGTCTAGCCACCTGGCGTTCTTCAACACTTCACTTTCACTGCACGAATAATCAAGATAACTCAAGTCATTTACAATAGTTTTGCGGAGGTTTCACATTGCGGTTTCAGTGCGACTATCATCAACTGTAATCAAAGAGAACTTTGTTCAAGAAATACACTCATTTGCAAATCAGTTTGGTTTTCACGAGAGACTCAACTGAATATCATAAACGAGAGATTCAGTTGAGTCTCTTGTGAAAACCAAATTGATTTGTAAACGAGTGTATTTCTCCAAAAAAGTCCAAATTAGATCATAAGGTTGGCGGAAACTCGACGACTGCGCCTACCTGATGAGCCCCAAGAAGGGCGAAATCGGTCATGGGCTGTCCAAGATTTTTCAGCAACCTTGTAAGTAGTTTCCTTTATGAAAATAACTTTATTCGTTTTATTCTTGCTATGTTTTCCAGACAACCCTCACAAACGCCCGAGCCAACGTAAGTTTCAGACATGAAGATGTCAGTCGGAAGACATGAAAAGACAGACACAAAACATGTGTGTCCTTCACTTAACCCGTTTCGTTTCCTCATGTTGGCGGATGAACACCACTGAGTAAAAGCGCAGTGAGAATTAGGACAGGAAACCCCCTGTTGTGTGAATTTTTTTGCAGTAAACCAGGAATTGCCTACGAGCCCAAAACACGGGGTTCAGATCCCCACATGCAACCCCTAGCCACGTGCTCGGGGCTACGTTTGCTAAGTACTAATCCACTGCTTGATACCAGCGAAAACAGGAAATGGACACTCTGTCATGATTCAGGTCAAGTTCCAAACTTTGAAAGGGATCCAGTCAGCGCCCTCGCGACGACCTTCGGAGAGATTCCTCCAGAAGCTTCATCTTTTCGGGAATCACTTTTCTCATATGGTCAGTAAAGCACTGAGAGGACCCCAACACATTTCCTGGAATTTCACTGGGTATACCCATTGTCTTTTTGCTTTTGTGTCTGTATTCCAGCCCTACGGAAGAAGAAGTCTTTGGACACTCCCAAACCGAGTAAGTGGAACACACAACCAACCTAACCACAAGGATATTCCTACTACAGAATGGGAAACGGCTTGTTAATCAGTGTGTCAAAAATTCCAATCCATCCGTGATCAGCTGGCTTGTTGGACAAGCCAGTCAAGCAGTCACGTGAGCAGTTACTTTGGCGAGATCCGTTTAGACAGTTCGGATGTTGTGGGGGCACACACGCACTCAACTTAAAATTACTGGGAAAGCTACAGCAGTTGAACGGGGATGTTTCATCACGACAGCCTTGTGAAATTCTATTGAATTAAGTCAGATAAAATGAAGTTTATTGAATTATTTGGTCTGTCTATCCGCCGACTGGACTCAGAATCTGATCGGGATTCGATTCACTATCTTGATGTGATATCCTTAAGAAAGTGGTAACTTCAGCGTGGTCCCAACATGCCACGTGTCGTGTCGTTATACTTCGTTCGCCCTGTAGTTTAAATTGGTTTGTGTGAGCGGTACTCAATGTATGCGTACGAACAAACAATAGCCATGCTCACCAGGGCAAAATGATCCCATTTCCACGGGTCCAACCACAACGACCAGAGGTTCAACATCATAATATACCATCTTTACTGAAGCATGACAAGCAAGATCCTTTGCTCGACTTCATGTATTCATGTCTGCGGTATGCGCGGTTCGAACTGTTTGGATTCCTCAGTTCAAAGTACAACTTACCTTGTTACAGAGGACTTGAGTGTATTGAACAAAACGTAGTGCCAAATGAAAGCCGGACTAGCAACCCGATGACTTAGGGGCCCTGTCCGGTTTAGATGGGTCCATCCAGTGTTAGACAGTGAATCGTTTGTACAGGCTTTGTGAGTAGCTGACCCACAGCTACGCATCAC